TATATTATTTATATTTTAATTATTATATTTATTAAAATTTTTATATATTATATATTCGTGCCGATTAGGAAAAAATGGTTTTTGAAAAGAATATTTAAAATTAGTCCTTTCTAAAATTTTATCTTATACGTTTAAAAATATATTGTTTTCATTTATGTTAATGTAAAAATTAATAATTTCATACCAAAAGATTCTTACAAAACTTACCTAACCTTATTATAACAAGCGCAATTATCATGGGGGTTCGGTGGAGGATTAGGATATAATAAACAACCACGTTGGATTACTGGTAGCTAATGTTGAAGTATGGTGAAAAGAGAACCCAGAGCCTGGCCTTGTAGTGCGCTATCCGCCTTCCACTCCACTCTCTGAGTGACTCAGCCTGAGGTAAGGCAGTTCGAAAGGAGAGGGGACTCGTGACGTCATAGTCCGGGAGGCAGTGACTCACAAGCAACAGTAACGGTTATAACTGATATGCTACAGAACACAGCACTACTGACACAATTAATTTAGCCTAATCGAACAAAATATATTTTACATAAGTTTACAATAATTTAATAATAAACAAACAAATTGAAATATATACTTTTCGTTAGGTTCAGAATGATCTTTGTGAAATTATTGTATATATAGATTTTAGCTTGCTTTATTCGGAAAGAAGAGAGTTGACGTTTAAGCGAAAATCGCAAGTTTTACCTACTGTACTTGTTAAAATGAGGTTAGGTAAGTTTTTTGAGGTTCTTTTGGTACAAAAATGATTAATTTTGACACTAACACAAATGAAAGAAATATATCTTTAAACGCATAAGAGAAAATTTTGGAAAGGACTTAATTTTAAATGAGTTTTTGCTAATTGACCAGTTTTACTTATTCAGTATATTATATTATATATATATATATATATATATATATTATATATATATATATATATATATATATATATATATATATTGTATATATATATATATATATATATATATATATATATATATATATTATATATATATTATATATATATATATATATATATATATAATTCAGTTATTTATTCTGTATAGTGAAGAGACTGGGTGTCGTATAACTAGTGGAGACACGATAAACAATATATAATAACCCGTGTATAATAAATTTTAACTGGATGACAGGTCATCTTTTATTTGAGTTTGGACCTGAGAAAAGTTAAGTGTTCATAGGGATTTTCATTGAACAAAACGTAAAATATCGTCTTCCTTTTTCTTTTTGATAAGATGGAAATTTATTTGGAGCTAATACGTGTGGATTCATCAATATGTTTGGTAAGGAGTTGTCTTCCCAATGAACATTATGGATTTCTTTACTAACCTTTTAAAAATGGGCTGAACTCTCCTAGACATAAGATCTGAAAGTTTTATGTGTTATTTTGAACTGTGATTGGCTGTAGTTTGCAAACCTTCATTTTACATCACAAAGATTCGTTCATTATAGCCAAAAAAATGTTAGTAAAGAAAGCAATAATATGAATAAGTTTTTAAACGTCTTCCGTAACTCAGATCGGATGTCAGTTACAAAATACAAATACATGTAGCTGAATCCACACTTAGAATTTCCAGTTAAATTTCAACTTGTCTAAGGCTCAAGGGAACTTCGAAGTAATTTTGAGATTGGATTTAAAAAAATTCATTCAATCGCGTAATTTTTCTCAGATTTAAACCCGTGTAACCCAGTTAAAACTTAATGTACGTGTCACTGTACATATTGTTTGTAATGTCTCGTACAGTGACATAATACTCTCTCATCGTTATATATATTCCATGTGTCACCATCTTCTGTATATGCTAAGAGTTGAAGAGGAAAGTATATAGACCGCACAAATTATCTATTTTTTCCAAATTTTTGTCGCATGTGGTTATCTTCCTAAAACACACACACACACACACACACACACACACACACACACACACACATGCTTCACTTCAACACTACCGGCTTACAACGTCCACATTCATAATTCTTATCCACACTAGTATCATTCAGTTCACACAACTATTAGTACATCCACAACAGGACTCGCTCAAGCCCCAACTCCTTCCATGAAGAAAGACGAAGAAAAAAGACAAAGAGTTCACATAAGAGAACATGGTGTTAGTAAGACTTAGGTACATCAACTAGCTGTAGAAGAAAATATATATTAGTGATATAGCAGAATATATAGATAATAATTTTAAGTAATAACTTTTGAAAAATTATTTTATAATAAGCAGAGAATTTTGAACAAGAGATATTCTACTTTATAGTATCTGATATTTTAAATTGTATGAAAAGTCACACATATAGACTATATTACATGGATAAGTATATAGATAAACATTTATGTTACATATTATATGACTGAAGCTTTTTTTATAATATTCAATATTATAACGTCTTCTATTATGAGTGATACCGGCGAATAAAAAAAAAAAAAAAAAGAGTGAAAGATATTAACATATATGAACACATGAAACAGATTATTAATTAATGCTAAGCAATTTCCAGGTATCTTCAGTGGTGAATCTATGTTAAAATTAAAGGATTAGTAGATAGAGAAATTAAATTATTGCATTAAAAATGTATTTATATACCACAATTTTTTTATTATATATAATTTCAGTATTTGAATTTTATTTCAAAATAGAATGAGATTCATAAATTTTTATTTCATTAACTAGTCTTACTGAATACTCATAAATATGCAAAAAGACAAATATCAACTTACAGTAGACACAGCCAGTGGTGTTCTCCCAGCCTTGGTTGGTGCAGTTGATGGTGGCGGAGTAGACCTGGGGAAAGTTTTCAACCAGAATGAGAGTCAGGCACAATGTGTAGCTATTCAATGTGTACAATTCTAATAGTTATGACAGTTATTGTTATTATAGTCAAAGCTAAGCGCTAAACCCACAAGGCTTATACAACTCTGCAAAGTTATGGCTTAAAACCCGTTATGCAAATCTTTTTTTCCATTCATACTATCACATGTGATGTGTTTTACAATGAAGTAATGAAATCTGTCAGCATCAGCTAGGTGACTTCAGTATAGCAACGAGGATCTCTTCAGATATTTAGCTGCGAGAGCCCTTAGCGGTGAATGGCTCTTGTTCTAAGTAGTTGGACCTCTTCCACTTACCTCAGCTCAAATCTAAATGTCCCTAATCCATCTTTCGTTTTGTGTTAATTAGTTGGGATATTTTCCATTTCGTGAAATGCAGCTCCTAGATAGGAGTAAAGGAAATCACTATTGGCTCGGTTTTTATGTAGCTTTTGTTTGTATGCTATGGGGTTGTCTCACCACGTATAATGGATATTACGTAATTTTAAGATGTGTCAGATGAGCCTCAATTTACACAAGTTGTGGCTATCTGGTAGGGCCTTTGACGATGGTTAAAATATTTAAAGTGGAATTTGTCGCCGTTCCTCCTTGATGTTAGGTTGGGTTAGGTAAGATTTGACAGGAAACTGCACTAGTGTTTCCTGGCGCTGGTCTTAGTCATATGGTAACCCGCAGCTGTAACACAGTACTTTTAGGAGATTCTGAATAAAAGTTGTAAAGGTTGATAGAGAAGTTTAAGAGGGTGTGTACAAATTAAAAATCAACATAAAAAAAACAAGAACGTGATGAGAATAACGATAATTCTAGGCCATAGAATGCTGGAAATCAGATTGGAGAAAGGACAGATGGTAGAGGTGTCAGTAGATGAGTTTATGCAAGGCGAAATGAATCAGAGAAAAGGTGAAAGGGAAAGGTTGGTGCTGTATTGAGGCGTCTGTGTAGAGAGAAATATTTTCCAGTTAAGGCTATAACGTTAATGTACCAGAGTACAATGGTAGCAACACTTTTACATGGTTATAAAATATGGTGTTTAAAATGTTGCAGGAAGGAGGCTAGAGTCAATGTTGTCATATTTAAGATTAATGACGTTGTCTTAATATTATGCTGAGAACATGGATTGAAAGTTATAATTCAAAGGGCTTGAGGGTTTATTGATATAGTTTGGCCATTTACAAAGACTGAAAAAATAAGTTGACCAAGCAATATATAAATCTGGGGATGGGGTAAGGGTCGTTTCAAGAACGGGTTGGAGAGAGGGGTTGAAAGAGGTTTGGAATGATAGGCGTTTAGGCAACCAGCAGTATGTTCGGAATGATGAAAAAATTACTAAAGTGAAAATAAGAAATATAACCTGAATGTTTTCATGTGCTTACATACACATGTCCTCCGACGATGTGTGCGTAAGCACATGAAAACACTCAGGTTTTACTTCCTATTTTCACTGTGGTATTTTTTCATATTTGCAATCACGCGTTTTATTGTGATTTCTATCATCGGAATGAATAACGAAAATATGTTTTTTAATTGATATGCTCTTAAGAATAAGACAGCATTTCTGAACAGGTGCTGGGAAGTACAATGCCTTTAACTATGATTGATGGTATGGAATGATAAGATTCAAGAGTGACATTTTAGCTGTGATTTCCGCACATTTCTGGCAAGACAGCTCTTAAATGAATGATGGTGACTGTGTTTCCTTCTTTAGGTCAGTATGCCTTCTTGGGAGATTGTTGATGAGGCAAAAAATAATAAAATAAGGAAAGATGATAAAACATGGATGAATAAGTAAACCAAGCAACACAGGTTGTAATGTACAATATCAGAGGTTATTATATTACCTTGGGGCTGAAGTGGTTGTGGGGTTTACACTTGGCAGTCACTTTCTTCCCCTCCAGCCACATCCCAGACTTCCAGGTGGTGGTGGCATTATTAACAACTGGCTCTCCTTCACACACTGCCACAGTTACACAATGTTTAGCGAGAGTTACAAAGGAATTTATATATGTTTTTCATAACAAAACATTGTGAAGGTATACTGACTATTTTGCACACCATATATTAAAGTAAGTTCTCTGATGTGTAAGTCATATATATCATCAGCTCACATTTATTTATTTACTTAATATCTTAATCAGTCACTTGGGTTTAATAATTTACACGTAAGTATAAATATGCTCATATGGTCACTTCAAAAAACACATTAATATAAGAAAACAGTACAAAAATAATACTGACATAGAGCATACAATTTACCTGTCAAACAGGGAAAATCAGTAAGCCAGCCATTTGAGGTACAACTGAAGCTTGTATTTGTGAAGCCGTCTTTAGTGAGGTGTTGGTCGGTACAGTTAGCAGCCAGACTTTCTCCCACCTTCCAAGCTTCATAGTCCCACATCCAGTTGGCGTTCTCATAATCAGGCTCCTCCACACACGCTGGTGGTTCAAGGTAAATAGGTAGTGTACAACAGGGGTTAGTACATCCTAAACTATGTAGTTGTGAGAGTAAATCCGGGATAGTACAAAGAACACAGGTGGGTGGTATAACATTGGTCAGGGTAAGGTACAATGCAGGTGGGTTCAAGTTACAACGCTGGTGTGTGCTAGGTACAACATGCGTGAATATTCGGTACAACGCGGTTGGTTTAAGGTACTACGAAGACATATGCATGTCACAATGGGGATGGGTTCAGGGTATAACACGAGTGGGTGCAGGGTACAAGAAGAGCGGGTGTATGCTACAACGCTGGCGGGTGGATGGTACAACACAGGTGGATGCAAGGTGAAGATGGAGTAGATCTGCAAAATCAAGATAACATGGTAGTCTGGTTTGGTTGCTGTGGGCTGACTCCACCTTGAAGACTACACGTGACCCAGAAGGGTGAGGGTCAATTAGAGGAAGCTTACAGGTAAAAAATGTGTTCTGGGGAAGATATAGAAGACATAGCCTCATAGTGCCCAACATCGAACTGGGTGATGGTTCCCTTTGATTTATTACAAGTCTAGTGCAGAATTTAGTTTCAGGTGTGGACTTGAGTGTTGTCATGTTTAAGGAGTATTGTTAGTCTAGTTTTGAACTTGACCCATTTATGTACAGGCTATTATATATCATTTTCAAGATAAAAGGAGTTTGTACCACTGAGATATCTTTAGAGCTATTAGATGACCATAATATACTATATTTTTTTTTAATTACTTGCACCTAGACATAAGAAACTTAAGAGATTTATTAACTTTACTTATTCCTTAAACTTAACTTCATTTTTTTTTTTGCATCTTCTTGTGATTGTCAATATCGTACTATTATCTTGGTCGTAGTTACTGTTAGGATAGCATAGATAAACTTAATAGAGGCAGGCGTGTGCAGAGGGTGTGTAAGGAGCAAGATGTGTAGACAGGAAGATGTATACAGGGTGGGGTGGGAGGAGTGTTATTCTCCATTGTTCCATAATGACAGATAAGGTTCAGAGAGGTGCGTGAAATGTAATTTTTTTTAATACTACGGCTCACTGTCGTTTCTGCACACTGAATTGTATTTTACTTAAATTGAAAGGCGGAAACAGTAAATAAAAAGTGGCTCAACATAAAAATATTTTTGTAGGCTCAACCTCAATGTTGGTTTATATATTAAACATGAATCACAACAATTTGACTTAAACATTAAGCATATAAAAATGTACATATACTAAGCATGTACGACATTAACGATATACATATTAATGTTGTTTCCTCAAACCCGCCTCCAGGCTGTTACATTCTGCCAGCCTTCCATTAAACACCCCAACCAGCTGTTTGGCTGGCTTTGGGTATGAGGTGAGACCCGGGGGGACAATGGTTAACTGTCTCCCCTACGGGGCCACCCCTTTGTAGACCGTTATATTGGCTCCTTCGACGTTGGGTTCGCCCTTGCACACTGATCACAAATCATCCGGGAATCAAAAATTATTTCAGAACATAAAACGTACGGGTTTAATTACGTTTGTAATTTTCAAAAATGATGTTTAGGATATATAATCACGAATTTTTTTTTAAATTTTATAAAATTTAAAAGGACGATTTAAAAGATTACCTCCCTGCACCCTTTGGTTTTGCCACCTTCATTAGTGCAAAGATGGGCAGCTTGTTACATTTTCACCCACAAACATGAAACCAGAGAAGCACTTGGCCATCACAGTGTTTCCAAAAACCACGCCCGATTCCCCCCAGGCAATGGTTGCGTTCTCGCCCACAGGCTCGAATGCACTTGTCAACTATTTTTGGCTGCAATTTAAGGTCAATTTTTATCTTATTTTGAGGGTTTTTTTGAAAAACAGTTCATTAGATGTATGTTTTGCTGAAATGTTGACCCCTCCCACGAGTTTTCATAGTGCCTGTTTCAAAATTTTTCTAGGTTTCAAATATTTGGGATTTAAAGTGGTTAAAGGTTGAAAAAATTCAGGAATGAGTTGAAGGGGACCATTTAATAAATGTAAAAAAAGGGAATTAGCCTGAAGCTAAGGCCCAAATGAGATTTTGATAAAAAAACAGGAACTAAAAGATTCTTTTTTGGGAAAAAACGGTTTTACAATAGCTAAGTTTTTTTTTTAAAATTTATTTTTTTTAAAAACATATTAAAATTTATGAGGTGGGGTTTGTATTACAAAGAATGTGATTTAATATTTCTCATCAAAATGAAAAAGAAATTTTAAAATGAGTGTTTTTTTTTAAAAAAAAAAAAGATTTTTTGAGGGGGAGGAGAAAAAAAAGAAAAAAAGAAAAATTTATTTTGCCCAATTAACATTTTTAAAACATGTAAAATTTCTATAAAAAAATAAATAAATGAGAAAAAATAAAAAAATATGACAATAGATGGTTAAAATAAAAACGATATGTACAAGGGACGTAATTTAAACATCGCCTAATCCTGTTAAAATACCCTTAGATCATTTGAGATTAATTAACATTAAACTTAATATTTTTTCCTTATATAAAATTGAATTTCATGAGGGATTGCAAAACCTTTTTTCACTCTGTTTTTTGGCACGTCATACTACATCTTTAATAAACTATAAGTTCAAAAGACTGAAAATTGTCATTTTTAATGAATAAAAATAGTTCCAAAAAAACGTTTAATTTTTTTTTTAATAATCAAGTGCCGTTCATGCCATGGTATTAAGTGTTATGAAAATTTTCCATTGTTAATTAACCCTTTCTCAATTAAATAGCTAATTGAAGGGCCCACCATGTTTTAATACTTTAATTTCATTCGGAAATGAGGGGCCCCGATTGAATTAGCAAATGAAATTTTTACATGTGCAACAAAAATGGGACTTTATAGAAAAAGGGTTTCCTATTTTATAAAAAAAAAAAGGCTAAACTTACAAGGGCATACGCGCTTGGGCAGGGAAGGGTGAAGGGATAGTGCAGGGTAGAAGGGACAGAATTGAGGTAAAAGCGCTGTGAGGGTGCAGAGGGGATCATTTCAAAATCGTGCAGTAAATAGTTGCCGTCAAAAGTCAACGAGGAGCTGGGTTAAAGGAGGGTCCACACAAGAAGAGAAATTTAAATATGGGAAATTTTGGTGGGGACGACGTCGGAGGTAAATTCGTCATGCTGTTGTAGAGTGGGCAGTCCAAAGAAAAAATGGGAACAGAAACTGGGGAAATGACAATTCCACAGAGTGGGGAAAAGGGCACCCCCTCCCTGAGTACCTGTGAGTAAGACATGTGGCCGATGGAAGAAAGGAGAGTGCAGTTCACGTTACATTGATGCAAGAAACAGCAGAAACCTTACTTGGTTTAAAAGAATGGAATTGTTTTTTTTTTCCCGATCAGACAACGCTTTGCCCAAAGGGTTGCGAAGGTTATAAACACGCAAAATATCTGTAATTAAAACCCCATAAAACCCGGGAGGTATGTAGGGGGCCGTGCGCATTGTCTGCTTGTTCATTGTCTGTTCGTCAACATGGCCCGGGGCTCAGCAAAAAACAATAAAAGTTGGGGTAAGAGAACCATGGATTAGGGGAGACAAAATTATGCTAGATGCAAAACAGATAAGGGTACGGGAAGCATACAATTCAGCTGTAAAAATGCAAGCTGAGGCTAAAAATACCCCATACGAAGCTGTTGAAAAAAACTGTTGCAAAATTTGAACCATCAAAAACTTTGGGAAAAATCGGGGACTCTCAATGGCATGAAAAAAATTGAAAATGATTAAAAAAAAAGAGAGCGAAAACAAAATATGGTATTTGGGCTTTAGCGGTTTAAAAACAGCAAACCCCCTTAACTTTCAGGGAAAGGGGAAAGTTAGTGCTACATGAACATGAAAGGGGCAACTGAAGAAAGACAAGAGCGAATTTGATGAAAAGAAATGGGACGGAGTAAACAGTGGCAGGTAAAAAATAAAGGAAATTTATAACATCCCCTTTCCATCCAATTAAAGGGGGGATTTCGGGGTCATGAGACGAATTAAAAAAGCGGGGGCAATGAGCACCCGGCGTGGGAAAGTGAAATATTCGCTTTTGAATAGAGGGTTTCAAAGGTGAAAAGGGGAAAAGACCGAGGCATTAAAGAATTCCTGGTGAGGGAGGGGTCAAGGCTAGAAAAAGTTTCTGGAGAGGCCGGAATACTCTGGCGGCCATAATCAGTTTTATAAAAAAGGGCAGAATGTAGTGAAGGAGGGTTCCACGATCATTCCCCCTGAAAGATGAGCAAAGATTTTTTGGGGTTAGCGGGTTGACAAGTTGTGAGGTTTCCAATTAACCCACGGTAAAACAGAAGGGGGGAGGGAACATGAAGTATCACTTTCTTTGGGAAAGCAAAAACCCAAAAGGTTCAGTGGATTATCAAGGAGATGAAACGTCTAGTGAAGTAAATTTTGGGGCGTTTTTGTAAAAAAAAATTTAAACCCCGAGCGTGGTCCTTTGGGGGAAAATTTTGGGCGATATGGAGAAAAATGCAATGGGCACGGCACCCCGCACAAACATAGCAAAATTATAAAATTTGGGGATGACCAAATTTAGATGTGAGAAAATCCCGATCATTTTTTGCAAAAAGAAAAAAATGGGTGTTGGGCACAACCCTGGGGGGCACCCTCACTTAGACAAAAGTCAGGGAAACCATTTATTAACCCAAAATGGGAAAAGTCTCTCGGATAAGAAAATTTTTAAGGAAAAAATGACAGGTTATTTTCTGAGGCCTAAGGAGTGAGCTTGAGTCAACGTATTATATCTCCAAGTTGTGTACCACATGCCTTCTCAAGATCAAAAAAAATGGTGATAACCGAGTGGTTATTGGCAAAGGTATAATGTACATATGTTTGTAAACGGAGTAAGGGGTCACTATTTGAAGGGCCCCCCTTTAAGAAAGCCATATTGACTAGTGGAGAGACTATTGTTGGATCTCTAAATCCCAAATCAAACGTCTATTTACCAGACTT